CTGTAAAGCTTCGGTCCCAATTGCGCCGGTGCCCGTTGGGGATGTAGTCCCGGCCGGCCCCGGTCGGGCTCAGGAGTCGAGCGGGCATCGGCTGTCGTGGTCACAATTAAAAGTTTCCTTCAGTAGCATTTTGTTAAAAATGTTGTCACCCTCTTTGGTCGGTCTCCGGCAGGTACCCGGTATATTGTCTGACGATGTCTTGTACTGACCTATACGTAATCCAGAATTTACGCTTTTGTTGTGATCATTTGATCTGTGACGTCACACATTTTACCCGGTTTACGAATTACACACCTTTATTCTGTTCATATGGTCTGTGACGTAACAAATGTGTCCCGGTGGACTGCTGGCAACCGTGGGGGTACCTCCCGGTGTTCTTACGGTGAGGTCACGGCGTCTTTTTATCAAAGGGGCCCGGGTAGAATTTAAGTTAGAATTGAATCATTCTCGGGGCCCCGCCGGGCCCAAAAATAGTCCGGTATCCGCGGGGTGTCACGCCCGAAAGTGCCATAAAATAGCCCGGGAACTACCCGACAGGGCCCCTTTTTTCAATTGGGACCGAAGCATAATGAGGGAACAAAAGTTTTGGTGTTTGACCATGAAGCGTAACGGCGTACACACAGCGCCAAGCAACAGGCTATTGCTATTATTGGACATCTACTGTTTCGACATATCCCCTCACACACTTTATGACCATCTGAATATTTTCTCACTAGTCCTGACTTACTCAATTTTTCTTGCCAGATATATGGGCGTATTAGACAAATGTGTTATTTTGGGAATCCTTCACAGACCCAAACTACACTAACACATTTGCGACTGTGGTAAAAGACATTAGAAATTGATTTCCATAGACCTAGCTGCACGTACTCTGTACGTGGTCTCAAGACTCAATTATAGAATCCCACAAAAAGACACGAACTCTATCTGTTGCCCAAGTAGGTTACCTTAATCCAGAGTGCCTTCACGTAGCATAGCCATCATTCTAAGCAGTTACCATTAGTTATCCTGAAACTGCCAAGCGTCAAAACAATATCCTATATATAGACTGTGCTGGCCCAAATACAGTTACTAACAGCCTCTTGAAGGCTTTGGCATGCCTGTTCGTTTTCGAAAATAACAAGCAAGAACTTTTTAATCTCAAGCAGTAACAATTGGTTCCTGAACAAAATTTTGATTCATATAAAAAACAACCAATATAAACGATTAGCTTGGAAGAAACAACAACCTACTAGATGGATCGAACCAGGAAAACTGTTTTCTGACATAAAAAGCTCTCTCCCACCAAAATACTATAACATGTCCAGAACGTTAACTGAAGATACAAAAACCGGAATTTGTGCTGCAGTACCAAGGACAGCCACCAAGAGGCCAATATTTGACCTTGACCTTCGTCTTGTCAAGACTTGCACACATACCAAATATGATAACAATCTATTCAGGTCTTCTTAAGTTATGCTGACCAGAAATATGCGGAAACACACACACACAGACACACGCACACACATACCAAAAACAATACCTCCATTTTACATATATATGCAGGCAAATACGAATCTACGTCGATGAAGGTTAGACATCCAGGTAATACGATACCCCAAAAGCAGTTACTCGAGCAACTGGATATGATTTTGGAAAATAAATCAATGATTTTAATTTTCATTGATTGATCAATGATTTTCCAAAATCATATCCAGTTGCTTGAGTAACTGCTTTTTGGCGTAAATACGACTCTATATCACACTAAGGCTAAAGCGTCACGAAGTGCAATCAAGCAGTAACAACACCATCCCTGCCTGAAAAGAGCAGAAGTTGCGGTAAAACTTTACCACTTACTCCGGGTCCCCCGGGTCTACAGATGCACCATCCACCTGAGTCAGTAGTCTTGTGGAGTGTTCTGGGGCGTGCATCAATCGGGATATCTGCCTTACCAGCAGAACGTGCCCGGTCTCACGAGACACCTGCACGGCAGAGAATAACAGATAAGATGGAGGCTTCATCACCGATAAAAAGTTTCCCGTAGTCATGAAAAATAACCGTGATGATTCCACACTAAGGCCATGTTGATTTGATGATATGGATGACATCCGCGCGCGCATGAATTTTCGGCCGTTTCCAAAAAAAAAAAGTTTTCAACCATACTGTAAATCGTACAAAACAGTTGCAAAATGAGCAAAAATATACCGTAAGTTACCAAAAAAAAAAAACTACACCAATGTCGTAGAATGCCAAAATCAAACGAAAAATGACACGAAATTGTAAAGAAATGAACTTGAAGACTAGATTATTCGCCAAACCATATTCTGTGTCATTTGTTAAACCTTCAAAACCACGTACATGTCATAATGAAAGCAACTTTTTTTTTTGCAAAACATTTTTTTATTCGCACGCGCGCATCAGTTTTGGGGTTCCCGGAGGATGTCATCCATATAATCAAATCAACATGGCCTAATCCTTCTCATGTCACGCTCCCTGGGTTTTCGGGCTGAAGAAAAACCGTGGAGTATTTGGAGATGAATTTAGATAGGATAATGCAGTGTGGTTGAGAGGCTTCAGATAGATGTGGGGTTGGGCTGGCGGACACGAGATCGGGATATCACGGGTTCGATTCCTGACATTCCTGGACAGCCGTTAGTACATACCTTGGTACATACACTTCAGTGAACCTTTGTCACTCCACCCAGGTGTAAAATGGGTGTATTTGACTCCTGTTGGGGTGGTAAAAGGCGGTGAAAGCATGCCCGTAGCCAGGATTTTGAATGGGGGAGACCCCCACTGCTTGAGGGGACCTCGAGCGCCGAAGGCGGGAGGTTCCTAGGGGGGTCCGGGGGCAGGCTCCCCCTGAAAATTTTGAAAAATGAACCTTCTAAAATTCCAGTTCATCTTTTCAAGAAAAATCTTGGACCTTTACATAAAAAGTGGACCTTTACATAAAAAGTGGACCAAAAAGTTGA